GCTTTGCTGCTTCTCAGCTAGATGCTTATCTTCAAGCCTTTAAGACCCCAGGCACTACATCTTTTGATAGCCGGGCACCATCAGCTTTCTTCAACACATCGGCTTATGCACCCATTTTGTCTTCAGAGATCATGTCGGGAAGGTGAGTGAGCATCACAAAATGCTGGATTATTAGAACAAAGTGTTCATGTGTTGAGGGAGTACTTGATTCGAGGGCTCTCAGTTCTTTAGGGTGGACAAAATGGCCGAACTCATTGTTTACAAGAGTATATTGACCAATAAAGTTTATATCTTTATCTTTTAATTCCATTTACATGAACTTTTGGAGCTTATTTCCATCAATTTTTTATTTATGTGACATAAATAAGTTAGACGTTTTTGATGTTTTTTATCGTATGTAACATTAATGGTCACAATAGGAACTCAAACATGACTGTTGAATGTGGAAACAATGTGAATGGTGGATAGGTTCCGCTGGTTGGAGTCCTGGCTCATAGAACAATTTGTTATTTAAATTCCCCTTCAATAAATCACTGTAGGAGTTGATTTTTTCCAATGTTTTATTGAGTGAATCAATTGAGTGCCCAATAATAGAGAACTCTAAACAATCAAATGAATAAACAATTAGTAAGCAATGTAACTATTTATAGTCACTTTGGGTTATCACTCATTATACTTCAGAATGTATTAGTAAGTGTTCAGAATGTATGTATTATATAATATGTATTCAGAATTAGTATATGTTCAGAATATATTAGTAGTAAAATCAATCAAGACAATTCTTAGGCATAGATCTTAAATTTTAAAAAACTTCACAGAAAAGGATACAACAAAATCCATTCTAGTCTCCTGTCTACAAGTTATACTTTTCTCAGAATAGGAACATAATAAGTCTACAATTTCTTTCTAAAATCAGCCTAGAAATTATGCACACAATTAAAAAGCGCTAGATTGACAGAATTAAATGTCATACTTTTGTGAAGCTCCAAGAACATAATTGCTTGCACTTATTAACAAGAATTGTAAGATATTTTGTAAATACAAAAATATTTAATAATTGGCCCCACTTTTGTATATATTTTAAAGATGTTTATGTTAGTGATTTCCTAAATCTTTAAATCCATCAGAATATGAACTCTTGTTCTTAATGTTCTTGAATCCCAAACACTAGGCAACAGCGATGGACCATGGCTTACAGCATTTACAGTCAATTTTGGGAATCTGAAAGACAAAATTTAGAAGATGTATGATTTAAAAATAGTAAAAACACTTAGAGTTCACTATAATTAGCAGCAAACAGTAACTCTTTTTATTCCTCAAAATATAGTTAACTTATATAAGCTGTTTTTATTCTTTCCAAATAAATATTCATTATATTTGTAGCTAAATAGAAAGGATCTCTAATCTTTGACATAACAACGCAGAAATTAAACTAAACTCCAGCTGAAATAAATCAACTAGGGGTGCTGTCAATATAGCAAGAGATAGAAAAATGTTCAAATCATGACAATTACAGTTCTGCTTAGAAATTTTCTTCTGTGTTACATTCATATTATTTTGAATCCTTTAGTATTACTTATATTTTCTGTGAACTATTTGTGCAAGGAAATCACAACCAGTGATTTATTTTAGTTTAAGTGGAAAGTAAAGTTCTATCAAAATTGATGAAGGACAGCAAATGCTCTTCAGGTATATCACATTTATGCGTGGTGAGTAATAAACATTTGCAGCAACTTAAAAATATAGTACATAAGCCAAAAGAAAACCAAACAGGGTTTCTGAGGCTATACATTTTTATAGGAGCAGAAAGCTTAGTCTTTTTCCCAAGCAGGGGCTGGTGGGTTTGAACTGCCCACCTAGTGGTTAGCAGTCCAACAGTTACCAGACAATGCCAGCAGAACAAAAGGAATCAGCTGACATTTTTGATGTGTTAATTGGGTTTTCCCATGTGAGCTTGTTTGCAAGTGTAAAACTGATTCTGTTTTCTTTTTGTTTG